TAAAATATAAAGAAAATTTGGTGCATGTGATGTGATTTTACCTTGTTTTTTGGTGGAATGTTGATGGTCTAACTAGGTGTTAGTGACCATCAACACTCTCTCAACGTTTGCAATTATTTTTCATATATTTGTGCTTGTTTTGTTGCTTGGTAGCTCTAGTTCTTTAGCTTGCTTAGTTGGTAGCTTAGCATAGCTCTAGTGAGTAGTGTAGGTAAGTTGCTCTCCTTTTTAGTTCACTAGTTGCTAGGCGTGGTAATTCTATCTGTTTGTTGTTTGCATGATTGAGTGCTAAATTACTTGTTCTTGCAACTAGAATTGTTTAGATGGTTTGCTTTTTGTTAACTAGGCTAATTAGGCAAGTAGTGGCTATTAGGATTGTCTCTCTTACTAACACACTTTGCCTAGTGTTTTAAGTTTGTAGAATTTTTATTAGGCTATTCACCCTCCTCTAGCCATCCATAGATCCTTTCACTTGGTCCGCTTCTTCTTGTCTTGCTTGTTGACCTTGTGAGCCACCACCTAGTCATTCTTCTTACTGAGTAGAAAAGGTGTGGTGGACTACTTGTCAACCTTGGTGCAGGTGTTGGAGAGCTTGCTTCTTTTGTTTTTTTTTTCTTGCTTCTTATCCCCCTTTCCTCACCATCTTGCGCTCATAGGATTTTTGGCCTTCTTGGTGACATGAATAACAAGTCGTGACTGTTCCCTCATCAAGCTTCTTCACCACCATGTGAAAGTTCTAGTTTAGTTTGGTAATTGAGTAACAACATTAGGTGGACTAATGCTTTTCATGTGAGATGATTATGTGCATTGTTCACAAGTGGAGTTGAGTTATGCATGGAGCCATGAGAAGAGGTGGCAAGGACCATGGAGGTGAAGTGCTCAACATGGTGATGAAGATGAAGGAGATGGATGGAAATGGAGGAAAGAACCCAAAGGCAAAGGTATATTTTGTAGGGCTTTGCTTTCACCGTCCAAAGTGTTGTAGAGAAGAGTGGCGAGATTTAGGATAGATAGTTATACTATAAAGAGGGGGAATTTTTGGTACATACGGTTATCTAGTGCCATTAGGTGAAGACTAACAATGCACATGTGTTAAGGTCAAGTGGCGTGGAAAGGAAGCAAGTGAAAACCTTTTGAAACTGCTAACTCAGTGCTAAAGTTGTTGTTGTCACGTGGGATACTCTTTGGAGTTTGGAGTTAGCTAATTTGAAAAGTTTTGAGAGAAGTTCTTGGTGGAGTGCATTTGGACTCACTAGATAAGTCTAGTGGGGTCAACAAAGTTACCACTAGAGCTTAGGTGCCCCCTTGCCGCCCTGGTTTGATCATCTCTATTGTTGATTGTTCAAGCCATTACAAAACTCTGGTGGTCTAGGAGAGGGCACCACCAAAGCTTAGGCTTGTAGGCCGACAACGGTGAGGTTTTCAGGCATAGACCTATCCTTTGGGTGATCATCGGACAAGGATCACTAAAGGTTAGGGCAAGGACACTTGGTGGTGATTGGTGAAGCAGTCGGATGATAATCTCCGGAGAGTTCCAGGCAGGTTCTGGAGACCACAAAAAAAGTATGGTGGTCAGGCTCCAGAGTCACCAGAGTTTAGGCTATGACCTAACCCTTATGCAGAAGCGCACAAAGGCTCAGAGATGCCACCGAAATGCTTCTATGATCATAGGAGAAAGTGCACTGAAGAAAGGTGTGTGTAATGGCTAGTTTGAAATAGGCATTGATATAGCCATTAAAGTCTCTGGTGGGTTTCTCTAGTGTGGGCATCGAAGAATTCTGGTGGTGCCGTAGGATCTATTTCAAGAGAGTAACAACTAGTTTCTTGAGTGGGCTTACAAATAGAAGGTGTGGCCATACATGTAAGCTCTCTTGGACCCCTTGGCTCACCCATTAGAGCTCAAGAGACCTCTCCACTCAGATTTGCTTAGTTGAGATTGCATTGAATGAGATTGGAGTTGATCTAATGCTTTTGCATTGAGAGTTTGCATCTAGTGGCTGGTTTTGCTTTGGATTTCTTATCATTTTTTGTGGTTGCCGCCATCTAGAAGTCTTGAGTAGCTGGAGTTCCCTTGAAGCACTAAACTGAGGGGACATTGATTGTTAAGGGCTCTTGTGCTTATCCCTGTGGCCGATCGCAAAGAGAAACTTTAGTGAAATCGAGGCTATTGGTGTATCAGTGAATCTTCAAAACCTCATGCAGCTTATGTTAGCAATTTTACTGCTGACATGAAGGAGAATGAGAACACTTTGACAGACCCTATACCATGTGTGCCTATAATTTGTGGTACTAGTTATTCCAATAAAGAAGCTCATAAGTATATGACAAAGTTGAGAGCGACTTTGTTTCAAGGAAGGGATGATGATGAATCCATGGCTCCTTAAGATGTTCATTGAGACAAGTCTAGCATTATTTTAAATATAGCAATTGGTATCTATTTGAAATCCTCGGGCCTTAAATTTGGAGCCATCATTTTTATTGAGAAATATATCATAACAAGGAGAAATTCACTACTGTTGGCCTGTCATCAAATATCATTTTTAGTGGTGTAACATTCATGAAAGATGGAAATACAAAGAAAATATATGTTTATTGGTTCCATGCAGTTGCATCGCTTGAAATATTATTGGCTGACCAGATATCATAGTCTCAGTACAAGTGCTTTGCATGGTTGCCACATCTGTGTATTATTTTAGGTAAGCCTAAACTGGTTTGAACTTGGTGGTATTTGTGTTGAGAATTCTATTGTGGATTTTATTCTTCTATTGAGGCGTTTCTCTAGAAATTCAAGATAATGATCCCATCTATTATCAAGAACTGAAGCCAATCCTTACGTGGATTAGTGTTGAATGCGTGATCGAGTTGCTACAGTTCGAGTGCACTGCTTGGAATTTTTGGAGTTCTCCATCTTTTGATTGTACTCTATTTTAAATGTATGAGTGGAAGAAAATAAAAGTTTTAGGTTATTTATTCCTAGAAATTCGGCCGAAACTAGTTATCTTTTGCTACTAATAATTCCTTGCTGCTGCAATCACCATCAGTTGATCCTCTACCAGTCAAGTACTAGTGCTATTTGACCGAGATCCCATCTGTTATACTGCTGCTATTTAGAGTTACTTCCGTTGTATGAGTACTACTAGTAATATGCGCCATCAGTTGTGTAGATCAAATCACCAGAAATACATCTTCAGGTCACAAGTTGAATTCTTGGATTTATATATTCATTGCTGCTTTGCTCTACTGAGGTCATATTAAATTGCTCCCTGGCCTGAATGTTCTTGGTTGTTGCTACTTAAGTCATTTGTAGGAAGAGATTATTTTGAGGTTGATAAATTTAAAGGGATCTAATTTGTGCATATCGTGAAAGATGGCGTAAACATTTGGATATCATAAGCATGTCTTTATATACAATATGTTCACTGCTTTGCTCATCAATTATAATCGGTTCTTCACTACTACAGGAAACTTAACTGAGGCGATTTTCGCAACCACCTCGGACAAAAGGTCATGGTTAATTGTGCCTTAACCGAGGCGGTTGCCCTGCTCGCCTCGGTTAATAAAATATAAAAAACAAAAAAAAGAAAATCCATAGACAGGCCCACCGAGCCCATCCATGGGCCGCCGCCGGATCTGGCCGCTGCTCGTCGGATGCGGTCGCCTGCTCGCCAGATCCGGTGCCTACTTGCCGGATCCGGCCATCGCATGCCAGAGGAGAGAGGGCGCCGCTGGAGGGAGGACAGAGCGCCGCCACCAGATCAGACCTAGCTTGAGGGAGAGGGAGAGGGATGAGCCGCTGTCGCCAGATCCGCCCACGCCAGGGAGGAGAATGCCAGATCCGCCGCCGGGACGAGGTGGGGGCCGGATCCGCACCCCCACGCGCGCCGCTGGGCGAGATGGGCCGCGCTCGCCGTTGTGGTTGAGCCGCGCCGCCGTGGTGGGGGGAGAGGGAGGAGGGGCACCGTCGGTGAAGCCAGATCTGCGTGCGGAGCTCGCCGCCGGAGATCTCCCCGTGCATGCCACAGCCGCGCCACCGGTGGGAGGAGAGAAGGCGCCGCCGCTGTGGAGGAGATGGGCACCGCCAGCACCCCGCGCCGACCATCGCGCGGCCTCCGCCGCCGACGCCCGCGGGCCCTCGCCGTGGGGCGCGCGGCCTAGGTGCACGGCGCCCTGAGCCACCGGGAGAGAGAGTGGAGGGAAGGCTGGAGATAGAGAGAGTGGAGGGAGGGCCGAAAAGGGAGAGGGCGAGGGAGAGCGAGCCGGCGCGTGGGGGAGAGCGAGGGAGAGCCGCTGCATCTGAAAGGGAGGGAGAGGGAAGAGCTGAGATGAGTGAAAGTGAAACCCTAACTATCGGTATATATACAATGAGCGGATATTAGGCCCAGATAGGCTGCTTGCTGGGCCACTATTAACTGAGGCGGGCCTTATAAGGTGACTGTCTCCGAAAATGGATCACATCGGTTAATAGGCATTAACCGAGACGGTTATATTATATTGCCCGCCTCGGTAAAATATTAACCGAGACGGTTAATAACTGAGGTGGGCAGCCAGCCCACTCACCTCTGAGGCTATTTTGAAAACACATCGTAAAAGATTTTGTGTAGAAGTGCTTTTTGCTACTCCTAAAGAGATAATCATGGTTAATATTTTGTTTAATCTCTTTCGCGTGAGGTTTCATGTCACACAAACAAAATATCCAAAAACGTTAAATTTTATTTTTCGGTGGCAATATTACAAGAAACGGCTATAACATTGCATTTGAATCTTGCTCGCCATTTGTAAATATAGCGGAAAAAAAGTTACCCCCGTCGACGCTTGAGGTTGCAAGCCCGCAAAGCCCCCGTGCCGACCAACTACAAAACCCCACAATTCCCCACTCCCCCGTCCCCCGTCCCCACTCACACATCCCAGACCACACACACCGACCAAAACCCTCGCCACCGCGACGACAAATTCTGCCTCCGCTCCGTCGCGGCCGGCCGTGGAGCAGCGGCCGCGTCGCCATGGATGACCTTGCTAGGATGCTAGTCCGCGGTTTGGATTTCTTTATGATGGGCGGAAACATGCTCAGTTTGACGAAGACCGCCTTCACCAACCTGCCCCACCCGCCTGCCGCCACCACCGCCCCCCTCTCCGGTGCCGTCCGCGCCCTCGACAGGGTCGACCTCATCAGCTTCCTCCCCGGCGGGATCCTCCGTGACATCGTCTCCCGCCTCCCCGTCAAGGACGCCACGCGCACTACCGTCCTCTCCACGCGATGGCGCCGCGTCTGGCACACCACGCCGCTCATCCTCGTCCACGCCCACCTCCTCCCCAATGCCTCCATCGGGACCGGCCGTAACCGCCTCGGCGCCGATCCGCGCAACATCGCCGACGCGGTGTCCACCGTCCTCGCCAGCACCTGAGGTCCTTCCATTGCTTCTACCTCACCGGCACTCGATGGAGGGGCGCATCCCCAAGCGAGCTCGCTCTGGCTCCAGCACCTAGCCGCCAAGGGCGTCCAAGAACTCATTTTTCTCAGCTGCACAACAAATTTTGACTCTACCGTGCATCTCCCTGCCACGCTCTTTAGATGCACCTACCCCACAAAACTCTACATCGGCTTCGGGTGGTTTCCGCCGACCATTTGTTACAACCAAAACATAGGTTTGGGCTGAATTTCAGATTTCGTTAGCCATACCATAACTATACCATGTTGGGGATACATATAGGATAGCTTGCTTGAAAGCTTGCTTGAGCCTTAAGAAAACTACAGCATATTCTAGAGATGCTAAAGTAGATGCTAGGGATAAAGATAAGAGCTGACACAGCCACCAACTACTCTAGATAATTATCCTAAGTAGATAAGGACATGACTTATAGCTGTCATGGAACACGATCGAGCCGACGCCTTGAATCTCCACCCTTGACGCGTCGCCGAACCGCACCGAGCCGCGAACTGAGGTGTCGAGGTCGAAGAAGAGCTCGTGACGACCGGTCATGTGGTGGGTAGCGTCGCTGTCGAGGTACTAGCCATCCATCTTGTCCTCGCTGGAGCCGGTGTTGAGGAACGCACGAGCCTGGGGTTTGTCGATGTTGAGGCTGGCCTTGGAGCAGAGGATGTCCTCCTCTGTTTCCAGCTCCAGGAAACCATGAGCGAGAAACAGAGCCACCTCGTCATCATCTGCCTCTACGAGATGCGCTGCGCCACCACGCTCGTGTCGGGGCTGAGGGCAGTCCTTTGCCCAGTGGCCCGCGCAGTGGCAGTTGAGGCAAGTGTCGTTGCGGTTCGCCTTGCGTTCGCCGCCGGTGCCACCAGCCTTCTCTCCTTGCCCGCCGCCGCCACAGTCGCCACGCTCGCCACGTTCTCCCTTGGGCCTCGGCTTTCTACCGCTATGAGGTCGCTGACGATGGTCCTTGGTCGAGCTGGACGAGCCGGAGCCATCTCCTCTCTTCTTCTTCTCCTTCTACCGAGCGAGCCATTGCTCCTCGGTGTACATAAGCATCCCATCGACGGAGATGGGCTCGGACGGAAGTTCTTCCTCGAGATCGTCCACTGTCTTCAGCCTTCCGGCGATCTCCTCGATAGTGAGGTCCTGGAAGTAGAGGAGGGTCTCGATTGCGATCTTCAACTGGGCATACTTCTTCGGTGCCGCACGAAGAAGCTTCTCCACCGCCCGCTCCTCATCGAGGTCCTTGTCGCCGTGGCGGACCATCTGCTGCTTCAGCGCGGAGAGGCGTAGGACAAAATCCTCAACTTGCTCACCAGGATGGAAGGCGAGGTTCTCCCACTCCTTGCGCAGCGGCTGCAGCGTGGCGCGACGAACGCGGTCGACATCGATGCGTGCCGTGGCGATGGAGTCCCATGCCTCCTTGGCCGTCGCCTTGTCCGCGAGCGGTGCGCCCATCTCCAGTGGTACCCCGGCGATGATGGCTTCGAGCACGCGCCGGTCGTCATGGTACGGGAGGTCGCCGTACTAGATGGCGTCCCAGAGCTGGCGCGCCTGTATCTTCACCTTCATGAGCAGGCTCCACTCGTGGTAATTAGTCTTGGTCAGCATCATCCATGGCGTCCCCGTGCTGGAGTCCTTGTACACCGCCTAGACGGCCGCAGGTGACCCGCGATGGCCTCCGCGTCCGCGATGGCACTCTGGCGACGGTGACGGGATTCGGCGGCGCACTGGGCTCCGTGAGGGCTCCCTAGTTTGCCTCTCCAACTCTGCGCGTAGCGTGGCGGCCTTGTTGGCCGCTACCTGCCTGGCCGCCTCGATCGCCTACGTGGCTGCGGCCTCTGCCGCGGCCAAGCGCTGAGCCCGATCGGTGCCAGGATTGACCACCGCTCCTCTACCCGTGTTGGCGGCTGCAGCGGTGGCAGCTGCTCTCAGGGCGCGCTCGCTAGAGGTGGATATGGCCTCTGCTCTCTCCTAACCTGGCTCTAGATACCAATTGTGTTGCTAAACAAACTAGAACACAAGTGGAATTGGGCTGCCAGAGGGCAGCTTGGCCAATAGGCCGCTTGGATTGTATTGAATTGCAATGCCAACTTAGGATACAAGAAGATGCTAACCACTGCATATATAGGCAAGTGGTGTACCTACTCCTTAGCATATTCTAACTGTATAAAGCATATGCTATGATTCCTACTTGGTTGCCAAGGCACCATGATCAACTTGGTTGCCAAGGAACCTGAAAATTACATGACAGTGAATAGTAAATAGCTATAGTAGGTAACTGGATACATTGAGGTTCAGCACTAGGCTAACACCCTCACTTATTGAGTAGCATCATTTGGCTTGCAGAAGATTTTTGTCGCTTATGTAATCTGTTTTCCGTTTTCAGTGATATTGCATTGGACACCTGCTAAATATTTTCTGATTGCTGATGGGAATATTTATGCTTTGCTTGCCATGTACCAATTTGTGTATTCCTTAAAAAGAAATATTCCATTTGGGATCAGATATTACCTTTTCCAATTCACTGTTCATGATTGATTAATCACACCCTTTGCATCAAGTCATCAATACAGCATAGGGTCTTTTTGGTATGAAGGGCTGATAATGCCTATGCTCATCAAGATATAAAGGTGAGCATTAGGGATGAAAACGGATCGGATACGAACGGATATCACTCATATTATATTTGTTTTCATATTTCTGTTCGGATTCGGATTCGGACACGGATAGCGTTCGGATACATATACGAATACGGATTGACTCGGTTACGGATACGAATAATGAGTATCGAATACGGTATGAATCGGATTCGGAGAAGGTCGGATACAAATATCTATTCGGATATTGAGTAAAAGCAGCATATATATATATCATACGTACGCAAACCATTACACCACTCTATAAGTCCATAATCCATCTAGATTAAGCCGAAAGACTAAAGAGTAAAGCAACAAATAAGATAAAGATACAGATACATCATACATCAAACATCATACAAGCACTAATTTTCGCGGCATGAGTAGAAATAGCCAAGCTCATGGCTTCATGGGTCTTATGGAGTCATGGTCATGGATTCAAGATCTACAATCCTTATATAGGCCATTTTTTTCATTTGAGAAAGTTTGAACAAAATGTAGTTTAAATTTCATAAGTGTGTGACATAGTTTTAGAAAGTCTGTATGAGATTCAAGAATTTATGACTAGTGTTTGATAAAACTTTCTCAAATGGGAAAATGAGCTATGTAACAATTGTAGATCTTGCTGAGATGATCAAACTTGGTATTCAGAGTTTTTTCATCTGAGGTCATTTAGTGTCTCATTTGAGCAAGTTTGACCAAGTCAAATTTGGTCAAATGAAAAAACAACACTTTGACTCTAGTATTATGAACTCTAAATGACTTCAAATTGAAAAGTTTTGAATACCAAGTTTGTTCAACTCATCAAGATCTACAATTCTTGTTTTGGTCAACTTTCCATTTGAGATAGTTTGGATGGTTCAAATTTGTGATTTTTAAATTTCGATGCTTACAAACTAGTTTTCGGAACCCTAGATTGTCTCAAATTGAAAAGTTTTGAATACCAAGTTTGTTCAGCTCATCAAGATATACAATCCTTATATAGGCTATTTTTCATTTTAGAAAGTTTAAATAAAATGTAGTTCAAATTTCACAAGTGTGTGACATAGTTTCAAAAAGTTTATACGAGATTCAAGAATTTGTGACTAGTGTTTGATAAAACTCTCTCAAATGAGAAAATGAGCTATGTAACAATTGTATATCTTGCTGAGATGATCAAACTTGGTATTCAGAGTTTTTTCATCTGAGGTCATTTAGTGTCTCATTTGAGCAAGTTTGACCAAGTCAAATTTGGTCAAATGAAAAAACAACACTTTGACTCTAGTATTATGAACTCTAAATGACTTCAAATTGAAAAGTTTTGAATACCAAGTTTGTTCAACTCATCAAGATCTACAATTGTTGTTTTGGTCAACTTTCCATTTGAGATAGTTTGGACGGTTAAAATTTGTGATTTTTAAATTTCGACGTTTACAAACTAGTTTTCGGAACCCTAGATTGTCTCAAATTGAAAAGTTTTGAATACCAAATTTGTTCATATCATCAAGATCTACAATCCTTATATAGGCCATTTTTTTATTTGAGAAAGTTTGAACAAAATATAGTTCAAATTTCATAAGTGTGTGACATAGTTTCAGAAAGTCTGAGATTCAAGAATTTATGACTAGTGTTTGATAAAACTTTCTCAAATGGGAAAATGAGCTATGTAACAATTGTATATCTTGCTGAGATGATCAAACTTGATATTCAGAGTTTTTTCATCTGAGGTCATTTAGTGTCTCATTTGAGCAAGTTTGACCAAGTCCAATTTGGTCAAATGAAAAAACAACACTTTGACTCTAGTATTATGAACTCTAAATGACTTCAAATTGAAAAGTTTTCAATACCAAGTTTGTTCAACTCATCAAGATCTACAATTGTTGTTTTGGTCAACTTTCCATTTAAGATAGTTTGGATGGTTTAAATTTGTGATTTTTAAATTTTGACGCCTATAAACTAGTTTTCCATTTGAGATAGTTTGGACGGTTAAAATTTGTGATTTTTAAATTTCGATGTTTACAAACTAGTTTTCGGAACCCTAAATTGTCTCAAATTGAAAAGTTTTGAATACCAAATTTGTTCATATCATCAAGATCTACAATCCTTATATAGGCCATTTTTTCATTTGAGAAAGTTTGAACAAAATATAGTTCAAAATTCATAAGTGTGTGACATAGTTTCAGAAAGTCTATGAGATTCAAGAATTTGTGATTAGTGTTTGATAAAACTTTCTCAAATGGGAAAATGAGCTATGTAACAATTGTATATCTTGCTGAGATGATCAAACTTGGTATTCAGAGTTTTTTCATCTGAGGTCATTTAGTGTCTCATTTGAGCAAGTTTGACCAAGTCCAATTT